ATTGTATGGGAGGCGAAGTGGGCAAACAAAAAGAGGGGTAGACAACCCACGGAATGGGTCAAGGTTGTAGAGGACGTATGGAAGGAGCTCGACATCGACGAATATGAAACGCTGGAAACGGAGGGTCTAAAGGGGTTCAACGATAAAATATATCTGTTGCTTGTGCCGAGACAGAACAGAATCTAAGGAAAGAAACCGAGGGTAACGATGGTTAAGAAGTGTACGGAATGTCGAAAGAAGGAATAGGGTTCAAGGATTACCTACATGGACCAATGGATGCAGGGACAAAGCTTAAGGTCAAATTCAGGACCGGGGACATAGGCCCTCGAGAACGTCGACGAAGACATAGGACAGTCGACGACGAAGATGACAAGTTCAAATGTGATTGCGGCTTCGAATGCGAAGACCGAGTTCATGTAGTCGCGGGATGTCAGTTATTCGAAGAGGGAGGGAAGTGTACATGTCTGAGCTGGGAAAAGTACAAGGAAGGTACAGGGAGATTGTTTGAGGCATGCATTAGAGAGGAGAGTAAGGTCGCTGAACTGGGGAGTAGGAAGTTGTTTGAAAAGGCGGGATATCGTTAGGATAGACAGACTAGGGAAGACGTTTTTTAGCCACTTTTGGCAAAGAAGGAAGGAACGATTGGCCATCGGTGACCGGTCCTGTGGGAACAATGCTCCGTCCTTTCGAGGACGAGTGGTCAATGGTCTAACCGCTAAGGTATGCAAAACATAAGAGTACGCCCCCCTCCCATCCACCCGTCTTGGCTCAATTCGCTGCTTCTCCTTCCCTTCCTGGTAGAGGAATATCCGGTATCAACCATCAACTGGTACCGCCCACGTATGTTGAACTTTTACCGCACGCGAAGCAGAGAGTGCAGGACGTCATCCACAAGGGGTGTGGTCATCCAGGTTGCATCAAGCGACCGTCGTTTGGCAACGACGGCAGCACGAAGGCGGAGTTCTGTTCTCAGCACGCGTGGAAGGGTATGGTCAATGTCGTGAGCAAGAGGTGCGGCGACCCCTGGTGCATGAAGCATCCCACATATGGGCAACCTGGCAGCAAGAAGGCGGAGTTCTGTTCTCAGCACGCGTGGAAGGGTATGGTCAATGTCGTGAGCAAGAGGTGCGGCGACCCCTGGTGCATGAAGCATCCCACATATGGGCAACCTGGCAGCAAGAAGGCGGAGTTCTGTTCTCAGCACGCGTGGAAGGGAATGGTCAATGTCGTCAGCAAGAGGTGCGGCCACCCCGGGTGCAGGAAGTACGCGGCATATGGTGACGCCGGCAGCAAGAAGGCTGAGTGCTGTTCTCAGCACGCGAGGGAGGGAATGGTCAATGTCGTCAGCAAGAGGTGCGGCCACCCGGGGTGCGTGAAGTACTCAGCATATGGTGACGCCGGCAAGAAGGCGGAATTCTGTTCTCAGCACGCGAGGGAGGGAATGGTCAATGTCGTCAGCAAGAGGTGTTGCCACCCGGGGTGCATGAAGCATCCCACTTTTGGTCAACCTGGCAGCAAGAAGGCGGAGTTCTGTTCTCAGCACGCGTGGAAGGGAATGGTCAATGTCGTCAGCAAGAGGTGCGGCCACCCCGGGTGCATGAAGTATCCCACATATGGTCAATCTGGCAGCAAGAAGGCTGAGTGCTGTTCTCAGCACGCGTGGAAGGGAATGGTCAATGTCGTCAGCAAGAGGTGCGGCCACCCGGGGGGCGTGAAGTACTCAGCATATGGTGACGCCGGCAAGAAGGCGGAATTCTGTTCTCAGCACGCGAGGGAGGGAATGGTCAATGTCGTCAGCAAGAGGTGCGGCCACCCCGGGTGCAGGAAGTACGCGGCATATGGTGACGCCGGCAGCAAGAAGGCTGAGTGCTGTTCTCAGCACGCGAGGGAGGGAATGGTCAATGTCGTCAGCAAGAGGTGCGGCCACCCGGGGTGCGTGAAGTACTCAGCATATGGTGACGCCGGCAAGAAGGCGGAATTCTGTTCTCAGCACGCGAGGGAGGGAATGGTCAATGTCGTCAGCAAGAGGTGCGGCCATCCCGGGTGCATGAAGCATCCCACATATGGTCAACCTGGCAGCAAGAAGGCGGAGTTCTGTTCTCAGCACGCGTGGAAGGGAATGGTCAATGTCGTCAGCAAGAGGTGCGGCCATCCCGGGTGCATGAAGCATCCCACATATGGTCAACCTGGCAGCAAGAAGGCGGAGTTCTGTTCTCAGCACGCGTGGAAGGGAATGGTCAATGTCGTCAGCAAGAGGTGCGGCCATCCCGGGTGCATGAAGCATCCCACATATGGTCAACCTGGCAGCAAGAAGGCGGAGTTCTGTTCTCAGCACGCGTGGAAGGGAATGGTCAATGTCGTCAGCAAGAGGTGCGGCCACCTCGGGTGCATGAAGTATCCCACATTTGGTCAACCTGGCAGCAAGAAGGCGGAGTTCTGTTCTCAGCACGCGTGGAAGGGAATGGTCAATGTCGTCAAAAAGAGGTAAGACCATCCAGGGTTCACCACGCACCCGTCGCATAGCAAAGGCGGCAGAATAAGCAAGCCTTCTGCGAAAGGCACTTCAAAGCGAGAAATGGTGCTTATAGATCGGACCGAATAGCAGATATCGCAGCTTGACGAGTAGCTCGCTGTGAGCTGTCGTTTCGGATCTCAAATGCGTTGGAGAGTGTGGGATTTTGCCATTGGCAATTGCTCAAGCTTCCGACCGTGGGCGCGGCTCGTGTTGCCCAGTGGGCTTCATGATCAAGTGCAAGCGTCCGACCCATGTCGGTGTTCCCGTTGCCCAGTGAGATTTGTGATCGATGTGATCTTTCCCGTTTGGATGTCGTTCAGAAGATTCGCTCAGGTAGCAAAGCGGTGTCTACTCGCGCACAACGTCTATGAGGTCTTCCTTTTTTGTTTCTTCCACAAATTGAATTGATGGGGGCGGATGGGGCTACGCAAAGAGACTGCTTGCGACTGTTGCAGTACGTAAGGATGGTGCCGGGAGGGTAGGGAGACACCTGTTGGTCACGAACCGAGTAGGAGTGCAGAATCTGGAACATTCGGTAACATCTAGGGAACAACAACGTGGAAACATTCTACAGAAGACGCACATACATGGAATTTGCATATCGAGCGGGAGGGAGGAGCGGTAGAATGTCCACCGTAGTGCTTACAGTACCGAAGGAGTTCCACTAGAATGATGGTCCCATAATAGTTTTGGTTAATGTTGTGAAGATTTATTCGCATGAGTCCGGTTACGAGGTCGTACTGGATGCTCCTCGCAGGATACCTAGCACAAAGATTCTTCAATTTCTGGAGGGCGGTGCATGAGCAGTGTGGAAGGTTACACACGATACGGTCACTATATCAAAAATCTCATGTACCACGCGAGTAGATGATTATGATGTGTTGGGTCAACCACCGGTGTTGCACCTGAGGCCGAGTTGGCAAGACGATCCGCGCGTTTGTTGGGGTTGGCAAGGCGGTTGAAGCGAGTGACTTGGTCGGAACTATTGAATATTTGCTCCAAGTTGTCAAGTGCAGCCATACAAAGTTGATTTGACGAGCTTCCTTCAGACATGGATCCCAACTTCCTGGACCTCAGAGCTCCGAGAAGTTGGATACAACGGCATTCTATCCATTGTTTTGTCACTATTTCGCTGGCGGTGAAGGTGTATCGAAGGCGCTGGCACAAAACGAGGACGGTTTGCCATTGAAAACGGCGTGATGACTGCATGTTGAAGACTGGTGCACGGACTCCCGTACAAGAAGCCGCACGTTTTTTTTAGACAGCAAACGAGTAAGGGATGTTGCCGCTCGAAACCACCGTGCCAGAGAAGGGCAAGGTGTAGGACACACGAGCGGTGACCCGAAAACTCGTTACACCGCTTGTTTGTGGGATCTCCACGTGTTTGGTGTTTGCCGAAAGATGAAAACTCTACAAAGTATGGATGCTGTTATTCGCACAGAAGCTTCAGCTCGGGTAGGATCTGTTGCATCCCTTGAATCTATTCCCGGTAGGTGTCGCTGCAAAGCTTCGGCTGATAGCGTAGATACCAAAACCAACCTTGGCCCCTCCAAGGGTGGTTTGACAACATTGCTCACTGGGCGATCGTGCCCTGCGGGTTTCCAGCGACGGCGACAAGAGACTCATCATAAGACACAGATACACGAAGGACGTCGTACTTCTTTCCCCTTTCTTTCTGTGGCACAGGTGTCCTCCGTGGGCCTACCGATGCCCAACCACCCGAAATAGGATGACGAGAACTCGAAACACGAAAGCGTCACTAAACCCCTCCGCTCTTCTGAAGAAGGAAAAGCACGGAACATGCATACCAGCTGTCTCTATGGTGCGCTGGCCTGCTTCCATGCCTGAATGAATCGTTTCTACGTATATGTAGATAAATGACAGACGCAGTCTATATGGAGGAGTTTACGGACTCAGGTAGTCTGCAGAGTATGTTGACCGACTGCTTGCAGCTGCATAATGGCAGGAGATAATAGTCGTCGACAGACGTTGACGGGGCATGTTCGCGTTTCAAACGAACACCTTCGAAGTCCGGTTGAAATATTTCGTGTTTGCCGGAAAGAGGTAGACTTGTAAGGATAACCCCGGACCTTGCGGTGATTCCGTGCTCTTCTGCACAATCGGCTAAGCCGCTTTTCACGCGGGTTGTCCATGTTCGCGACCGCATCCTAAGTTCCGCCAGCGAGCTCGAGTTCGAACATCTGTGGTTTTGCCTCCCCCCCTGCGGTAACCATACTGGTGGTCGAGTAGATCATGTTGTGCGGGGTGGAGAACCCTCGCTCCGCGCAAGGGGGATGATCGCACCACGTTGTGTTAAAATGGTCAAGCACCCTCGAGGCAGTTACACAGTGCTT